ATATATATATATATATATATATATAGGGAATGCATAGCCTCTCTACCATTTCATTCTAACAAGATTCTATTTTATCACTTTTACATTTAATATTATCCTGACATGTTTCTGTTGTCATGTCTACATACCAAGGCTTTCTGAACCAGTCAGGCAGGAGGTATATTGCAGAGGGCTTGGGAGTTTCTGAAAGGCCTTTGGAAATGTTTCAGACAGACAACAAAGGGCAGTTGGCTCCAAAATACAAAAAGAGAAAACAAAATATTATCAGCTATTTAATTAAATATACTCAAACATGACATTAAGTCAACTTCATTCAATTTGTAAATTTGGTAATGGTAAAAATTTAATGTGTAGCAATCTTAAAAACATCCTGCTGTACACACACCTTTTACATATAAGCCTTACTCTTGGTAGAAGCTATTTTTCTATAAACACAAGATGCTTTGTTGCCTAGATTTTAATATTTACTCTTCCCACTTTCCTTACCATGTTTGCCTGGCACATAGTGGGAACACAATAAATATATATTGGCATCCTTTGTTATTGGAAGGCTATATTACCTTCTATAAATTATACCCTAATGACATCCATTCCTGGGATAACTTTGCAAGTATTTCTGTGGTCCTTTTAGTGTGAAGAAAGGTCTTTTCTCCTCTTTCTCTCCATATATATACATATATCTTTGCACATCTCTTCCAAATGTTCTGACTTAAAAATACCATTTTATTGCATTCAGTGAGAGAGATTTTGTTGTGGTGCAATGAGATAGGACTTCATTGCATTGGATGCTTAGTAAACTTGTTTGAGAGAAAACTCTTTTTAAAGTAAGATGGATAATTTACTGACATCAACACCATATAGTAAAATTTGAACACTCACCAAATGCGGCTATGATATTCTTAGTACTGTAAGACTAGCATTCACTTTCAGAAAAAAAAAAAAGGGTCTTTTTGTGATCCTGGATAGCTTGACAGCTACTAGATACTGCTTGTTAAATAAGATCTCACTTTTGTTGATGAGATCTATTATCTGACATGACTCCTGGGGTTTATGACTATTTATCCATTAGATATCATTTAGGTGAATACACCCTTTCCCTAGAAAAGTTGATTCGTGGTGTATTTGTGATTTGCTTCACTGTGCTGTATGACCCTGTCGCATGCACATGTAACTCTTGTTTCAAAAACAAGTTGATATATGTTTCTGCTCCATTTGGAAGCAGCCAAAGTCAGTGTTTCCTACTAAACTATTTCTTAAAAACTGGCAGGGAGAAATAAAACCCTATAAGATTCCATGCTTGTCCAACTCAGTGGAAAAAGTAGTAATCCCCCATTTGTTCTGAAACACCTGCTGGTAGGTTTAATGAGTATATTAAAAACTGAGCTGCCTGATATTTCTTCTAAAAATCCTCTGTTCTTTTTCTTGAGCCTGTTTGATTAAAATCTGTGATTTGCTCCCTGTTTTTGCCATAGTTTCATGTTTGTTTTTCATTTTTGCCATACTGTAAATTTAATCATTTACTGATAAGTCAATGTAACAAATACAGGAAAGTTGTGTACCAGATGTATTTGGACTAATTGGTTTTGGTTTTTGTTTTCCAGCTGGGACGACATATATCTTTAGCAAAGGTGGTGGACAAATCACGTATAAGTGGCCTCCTAATGACCGGCCAAGTACACGAGCAGACAGACTGGCCATAGGGTTTAGCACTGTGCAAAAAGAAGCTGTATTGGTACGAGTGGACAGTTCTTCTGGCCTGGGTGACTACCTAGAGCTGCATATAGTAAGTACTTTAAAAATAAGATTCAACTTTCATTTTTTACTGTTAGTTTTTTTTTAATATTATCATAAATAACTTATAATTCTGCCTTTTGGAAGTTTCTCCTCCCCAGCAACCGGCACTTGGGTACAGAAAATAGAAATACACTTAAGAAGTAATAAGACTTTAGTCCAACTGCTGTTGCTAAAAATGTTCTTTACAATAGAAAATATATTTTTTGGTTGTTAAGTGTGAATTCCTCTCAATTCTCTGTTTAGAAGAAAGATTTATTTTGGTATGTTTTTAGTGACTTTAGGCAGACTTGCTAAAGTAATAAGCTGAGTTATTGCCTAGTTGATACTCTTCCATCTGACTAGAAGCATTAGTTGTAATACTGGTAACATCAACAGATCTGAACCCAGTGTCCTTATTTCTCTCTTCACTTAGAAAACAATTGTCTAAAGTTAACATGCAATGGATGGGAGAACAGGGAACTTCAAGGGTAATTAGGGGTAGAAAAGAAAATGGCAAAAATATTGTTTCTATGCTGTCTTATACTCATTTTGATACATAAGTATGAAGAAAATAAAATGGACTCAGCATTTATATCCTGGGACGATTCCTTTTTCCTCAAGCTCTAAGCCTACTATAAGAACTTAGCATATCATAGATGGCAAAAAAAAAAAACAAAAAACTTTTTTTTTAACCTTTTAAAGTTGCCATAACTGACTATAGCTTGGAGACTCTGCCCTATATCTCTGCATTCAAAGAGTTACTAATTTGTATAGTTGTAATTCTTTATCTCATTTTATAGCAATATTTGCACAGAAGTACATGGGGTCTCTCATTGTTAAGCGATATTAATATTTTACTGATATATAAAAGTAACAACCATAGGGAAGTGTCACATATTCAATAACTCTAATGGGTTCTTGTCATCATAGTTCTTAATTGAATATCTGTAATTTCTGGAAGGTTTCAAAAGTATATAATCTCTCCATTTCCCTTTTTATCCTTGAGGTATAGTTTATCTTTTCTGTCTCATGTGTTTATGTAAATTTGTTTCATTTTGCTTTTGTCTATCCCTATACGTTCTCCCTTTACCAGCACCCATGCCTCAGAAGACAATTTGATTAGGTCAACATGTTCTTTTCTCCTAGAAACTGGCCTTCAGGCCTTCATCCTAAAATGATTAGGAAAACTATCAAACACCAAAATACATGATCACAGACTTTTGCAGGGTCTTAATTTTCAAAATTTTATTCATTTATTTTCTTAATCTTAGTTTTCCATTAGACTTCTAGAATTTCCATTTAGCTGAGTAGGGGTTTACACTGACCATAAGAGCTGAATTCATTGCTAATCTTAGAAAAAAAGGGAAAAACAAAAAAAACAAAAACAAGAAAACACCTTAGCACGACCATTATCGAACCGTCATAAATTTTCAATTCAAAATGCAGTTGTCAAATGGGAACCCTGGGAAAGTAATTTCAACTGCCTTTCAGCAAATATCTAACAATCAAAATCGAAAGCATCTGGATTTTTATGGCATCATAAATAAATGATCAGTTGAGATAAGCTTAACTAGTGCAGCAAGGAATCTTGCTGTTTAGAGTAATCTCAACTTTCTAAATGTATTTGCTCCATTCTGATTTACGAGCCTTGCTACTTCAAAAAAAAAAAAGAAGAAAAGAAAAGAAAAAAGAAATAAGAAAACAAGAGCTTTCCCTCCTGAAAGAAATTACTTATTGATCCATCACCAATTACACATTTACCCTGAGAAAAGGTTCTACAGTGATCACTCTCAAATCGTAAGGGGCTATGTTATTGAATTACTCAAACCACTGTTGTTTGTTTTATGGTCAGAGGGTTTTAGTCTACAAGAATGGGTATTTTTTTTTTTTTTCCAATTTTGATCAAATGTGGGCTTAAGAGTCCCTCCATACGTAATGGATTGACTTTCTAGGTGTCCATAACAGCCCAGTACCTTCCACAACTCCTTTACTTGCTGTGGATTTCTGACAGCTGTCCTCTGAGGGCCTCCTTCTTTCTGAATCTCCTCGTTGGTTTGCCTACCTATTCACTTTAGGTTCAGTCTTTGTCTCAATACCTTCTCCCTCTTGGATTTGCTATCTTCAGACTTTCACTTGATCTGAGAGCCAGTCCTTGACTGGGAAATGGAAAATGTATATTGGTTCCCTGGGCTTACTGAACCTTACCCTTGTTGGTCATCCTTATGCCTCCTGTCTCCATTACTAGCATCTGTCTTAGTTCAAATCTGGCCAACTAAAACTTATCTCCCTCCCTTTTCTCTCATTGCCGACAAGTGGTGATCAGCTGTTAATGACTCAGCAAGTCGCTTATATGGAGACAAGTTCACTTCTTTCCATGTTTCAACATACAAACCAAATAAACACAAGACCAGGGTTGTTTTGTTTTGTTTTGTATTTTACATTATTGAGGTTTACTAATGTAACTCCTATAATGTTGGGTACTGGGAAGAGGAAGAGGAAGAGGAGATAGAAATTTAAAAAGGCTAGGGGAGGGGAGGAAGGGAGGGAGGGAGAAAAAGAAGGAGGGTGGGAGTATAAAAGAAGGGAAGGAGGAAGAAAAGAGAAGGGGAATGAAGTGTCCAGGGACCAAAGTTGTTAACAACGGGTGATAGAAGTATTCTTAATAATAATACTTAAATTTGAGAATATTCAGACCCTATTTTATCAAATTATTTAGGTACCCTTCAGTCTATGCCAATTTCCCTCAAGTCATTTCTTCTGCTTCTTTCAAAAATGGAAATTTGAAAGGAAAACAAGATTTGTAGTTTGTTTATTAGTATTGTTTGATTTTGGCTTATGAATGTACCTGATTTAAAAATTAACCTAATACCATACATGATACGTTTTATCTGTAAAAGTTAGTTATTATTATCCATTGAACTCCAGAAAAACTTCTGTAAACCCTCAAGGTCAGCCAAATATAAATTGTACTAATCTTTAAGAATTTTATTTCTACCCTTAATTAGTAAATTAACCAGTAAGTTGGTTGTACTCCTCAAAAGGTGCTATGGTCTTGCTGAAATGTACTATGCCATTTCAGTTAGATAAGTTTTAAAATATGATTGGCACATAATTTTGATGAAGATGTTAATATTTGACATCATCCCTTTTTATCAGAATGATCATGTTTGATTTTTACTTGAAAATATAATCATATTTTAATTTTGATTAATTGTACCTTTAAACTATAATAACTTGGAACAAAATGGTTTTTGATTCAGGTGGCCTAGTTTTTATAGATTTTTTAAATTATATTAATATTAATGCTACTACTGTTAACCTCAAAGCCATATGATGTTGCTATTGAAATTTGTGAGGTGTTAGGAGGGATGAGGGCAAGATAAACACATGAAGTGAGGAGCAATTAATTAGCGTAGAGCCTAGAATACAGGTACTCAAATATTTTCTGAAGTAATAAATGAATTAATGAATTATATATTGAAAATATGATGGCTTAGGCGAAGAATAGGCAGTCAGCTTTTCATTAGTTAATGTGAAGTCACAGATGCAGTTTAGTTTCTATGTATCTGAGAAAGTCTTTAAGACTTGTTTGTAACATAGAAAAAATGTAGCACTTGATATGCAGTAGCTATATTATTGAAAAGTTGCATATTTTTATTGATGTCTGAATCTTCAAGTGAGAATTGATTATAGTAGTTGATGGTTTAAATTAAGGAAGTGTGTGGTGGGAATTTTTGTTGTATGAATGATTATCTCTCTTTAGTAATTATCTCATTTATTGTAACTTACCTTTATCATGAATTGTTCTCCAGTCATTTCATATCTGCCCATTATTTTCCAATAGAGATAAACTGTCTAATGGCAGAGAACATAATTTGATAATAATGATGGTTAATAAGAAACATAACATAATATAGAATGTGGCTTTTCAATGTTCATTTCAGTACATGCTTGAAGACTTTCCAGAAAGATTTTCTGAGCAACTAGTATGGCCCAGGCCTATGTTAAGCTCTATGGATACAAAAATAAATGAGCTTACCACTTAATAGTTATCTCAGTAAGTATTTGTTGGATGAATGAATGAATGAGTCAAATGGGATCCTGATCACCAGGTAGCTTAGATTATTTATGGTAAACATACTTTGTCCCAAAATGACTCTATCTGGGTTCATCTCCATTTCTTCCTCTTGCAGTTTTAACTTTCTTATCTGTATATTCGTAAGAATATTAATAGATGATAGCTTTTTACGATAAAGAATATAAAGAAGTGACTTCTAAGCTGTAGGGTGTTATACATATTTAAATTAGTCATGTTGAAGATTATTTAATCAATATTGAGTAAAAAAATTCTTAGAAGCAATAAGCAAAAAAAAATCTAATTTATTTTAAAAATCAATTTATAAGATATATCTAGAAATGTTACTAGTGTTGCCACTCTAGAGAAAGCATCGCGTATACATCAGTCTGGCAACATTAATTAGAGATTACTTAACCCCTCTTTGATTTACAGAAGAAAGCCAGTGCAAATGTGCTCATTCACTGCCATGAATATTAACGTGTGCATCGGTTCTGACCAGAGGAAATGTGTGGAGGGTGGTGGGAGAGGATGAGGGAAGTGTTCTTTGAAATTCTTTCATCTTGGGAGCATGAAAGAGCATTACAAATTTGATTAGTGAATTGTTGTACATATTTGCCTTAAGTGTTTCTTCTTTGTGCTTTCCTAGGTCAGAAGCCTTATTTTTGAAACCCAGCTCTTAATTGATTTTGATTTAGAAATACACCTTTTGATCAGTGGTTTTAGTATAGACTAGAAGCATAATATATTTAGAGTTAAAATATGACTTGTCCCAAAATAACTTATCGCTATCAGTGACAAGTCAACACTTTCTCATCTTTCTCTGCATCTCTACATTTTATATTGCTTTAATATTTTCTGTTTAATAAATAAATATCATTTAATGTTTTATACTTTATAATACTGCTTTATTAAAACTAAATTTAAAAACATTT